GGTGAGAGTCGCGTCTGATATATATATATATATATATATATACACGCCTATATTTATTAATAAGTTATAGAAAAAATATAGAAGACACTTATATGTTTATGCATTTATAACCCAGTTTACATGTGTAGCAACAAAAGAAAACCATAATAAAGCAACTTGCATCAATAGTGAAGAGATGATGGGATGATGTAATACAAAAAGGGAAAAAGAAAGAAATTGTATTATAGTTACAGTTTATGCCTCTGTTTTTTCATTTTGTTGGAATACACTGAAAATGACTTTTTTTTTAGCTTTCAATTTTAGCCTATATTTTGGAAATATTACCACAGAAAATATTTACTAAAACCTAAACGAGCATGTTTTACCACTATTTTCCATTTTCACAGAAAATGAGAACAGAAGATGGACATACTAAAGATCCCCTTTTTAAGGTTCATTTTGGTCTTCATTTCAAAAGAATAAAAACACAAGGATTATTACTAATATCACATAGGGAGTGTTTGCCGATTTCTAAAAATAGTATAAATGGTGTAAGTTGGAACCAGTTACAAAAGAATCCATAAAAACAAGACAAAAACTTGAAAATAGGATTTAATTATATTCAAAATGCTTTATTGAATTTAATTATATGAACAGGACAGATTGTGACGATCTAAATGTCAAAAAATTGGCATGTTCATTGACCTAAGGATAATGAGCATTCCACACAAAAATCTTATCTTCAGATAAGAAGGGAGAGTCTACACTTCAAGTTCAACTTTTTAAAAACATTTATTTCAAATTTAGTTCATATAAGAACTCGTTTCATAAAATTTAGGTGACAATCAAACGACCTACACCTAACCAGCCCCACAGTACATGTCACAAAGTAAAGCAATTGCAAATATTCACTTTGAAATACAAGTAACTCCAAAAGAATAAAAATACCTTAAAACCTGAAGGACTGGGGCTTTCAAGAAAACCATCCTCATTTACCAAACTCTGTTTAGCTCCTTCAGAATCTCCATTTCTGACAGCATCACCACCCAGCTTCACATCTGGTGTAATACACACAGTCTTCTCAAAGAAATCAAGAGGAAATTCAGGATTTGTACCAGCATAGGCTTTATTGAGGATTCCAGAACCCAGTTTCTTAACTTTCTCAGATGCTGCGATCCCACTGGCATCCACACCTGCTGGAGCGTGAGAATATATTTGAAGGCTACCATCATCATGCAAGACAAGACAGTGGATTTTATCCTTTGATAGTGGTTTATATGCAGTCATACCAACTATAGGAGAGGTTGAACCCACTGAATGCCGCATACACTGAGCAATTATCTCATATTCCCCCATTGAGACAGTAAGTGCAGAATTTGATTTCAATGTTGATAAGCAAACAAATAACCCACTTCCAGCCAGCAATTCTTTCCAATGATGTACCCCAGCAGGCCGCAGCTTACTTTCTTGTTCCTCATATACAGAAGAGATCTCAACTAGAGAGGCTGCATTGGGGCTTGGGCGACCTACCAGTGTGGTGCCATCTTGAAAAGATACGAAGAGTAGCTTATAAGTTGAAGAGAAGTACAATGATGATCCCTTTGCATGAATCTCTTTTCCCTGTAGTTGTACAAGTTCTTTCAATGGCACAGCCCCAACATTCCCTTTGATCGACAACTCCAACCTGAATATGTTTCCATTTTCTGAAAGAACAAGAAGAAACATTCTTCCTTGGGACGCTGGACAAAGAACTGCATCCACAATCATGTCATCTGACAAAGTGAAGTAGTGCATTGGACTGATATTGTCCAAGGACAGGTCATATATCTTAACAAATCTGTTAGTCACAACCATTAATTGAACTTGTGACCCTGGAACCCAATCCACCCGTCTAATATATGCACCTTGCAAAGGTAGCTCAATGGCAAGGCGGTCAATCACTTCACCACGAGGATTTAATGTCAGGACCTGGCAATCCTCATAACCTGCTACAAGAAGATAGTTCTCAACCACAGGATTGAATGCAAGTTGTACAATTTCAAAGCGAACAATATTTTTAGAAAGAGGTTTCACATTGTTCTTGTCAGTTGTCACAGGTGCAATGGTGGCTTGACCAATCAACTGTCCAACATCATATATAGCAACTTTATCACCTTCACCAACAGCAAGTCGTCCACGTACACTCACACTGAGTAAGGACTTCACAAGAGAACCACTTGCCAAATGTAATTTAAGTTCTTTGGCATTTGAATAATCAACCTTTATCTTGAGATCAAATGATCCACTTTTATATGCTTTTTTCAATTGCAAGAGATCAATGCCATGAGAAATCACCTTGTCTTCACCCAAACAGATTCTCTTATCCTTGGAATGGTGAGAGTCTCGTCTGCTAAGTATAAACGGCAGCAAAGAAGAGCAAAGATTGAGCACCCGACTCTCAATATCCAGTTCTTCCAACAACAATAGAATGCCTTCTTGTATCTCTTTTGGAATACATAATCTGAGCGAATTATCTGCATCTGAACTGATTTCCTCTTCAAAATCTGAATCACTGTCCGGCAGCTGATCTCCATCCTCTGGGAAGGGTAAAAATGACTGGAAAGTATTAGAGCCACGAACAGGTGCACTGCTATCTCCAGTAAATTTCCGAGGTTTAAGGCATTGACAATTACTACCCCTCACACCCCCAGCTCCACAGTCACAAAAGAACCGACTTGAACGTGAATAGACAACACGATGGCCCCGATGACAAACCTTGGCACAGACTGAGCAGCAACCTTTTGATACAGTCAGGTCACATGTATAGCAGAAATACCAATGCTGCTCCATGAAATTGCTGCCACTGGAAGTAAATGTGCAAACTTTAGAGGCAAGGGCTCTTTCACTGTTAGCATCCTCTTCATCGTCCTTATCTATGCTAAGAACCTCTCCATCAGAAGTTGCATCATCCTCATCCTCATCTACAGAAGTTGCATCACATTCAAGAGAGGCTGACCCCCCTTCTTGATTGGCAGAAAGGATAAATGACTCGGAATTTTTTCTAGATCCAACCAGGCGAGCAGAAGCAGGTCCTACCCCAAGACTATTGCCAGAAGAACACTTCTTGGTTGTCTTTTGCAGGGAAATTTTACCAGATCCACTATCACTCAAGACAGTTTCAATAAAGCCAAATAAAAACTTCAGTCCTGGAAGCAGATTTTCATTAGCCACCAGTTTCTCCATCAACATTACAGTCCTCATCAAAAGCTGTTTCATCAAGAACTCTCCTCTAGAAATTTGAACAATGAAATTGAAAAAAGACTTTGCTACATGTATATCAAACAACAAAAAAGCGGAGTCAAGTGACAGCAGTGCAGAATTAAAAATATGATTTTGCATTTCTTTTGATTGTTGTTCAGAGGGTGGTGATACAAGACACAGAATAAAATTCATTGTTGACTCCCTAAGAGAAATGGAGCTCCCCTTTGCACAGTTCACCCCACAATCTGATTTCACTATGCTTCCTAAAAGCCTCTTCTCCAACCACTTAGATACACAATCTATCTCTCTGTCAAGAAATCTCCTTTGTATCCTCAATCTGAGGGCAGGAAATTGCTCACCAGACAAAAGATCCACAAAGAACCCAAGAACCTTCACATTCACTGATTCAGAGAAGCAGGAATCTAGAGAATCAATTAGGACCAAACAGTCACCAAGATGCAACTGCAAAAGCCTATTCATCTTCTCTGGCACATTTTCAACACCAAGATAAAAATGAAATATAACAGACTTTGAAGGGTGTTTTCTTAGGCTGTTTAATATCTCAATAATTTTGCAGATTATCCATTCACGAACACTGCAATCACTTGCTCCTCCAGCATTGACATCCTTCAGAAACCCTTCCATTTGCTTCATTAGAATTAAGTTTTCATAACATGACAATTCCAGTTCAGCACTCAAGCTGTGATAGATAGTGTCACATTTCCCATGAACACTTTCAAAGATCCTATCATACTTGATGATCGTTACTGCATCAAAAACTTGTCCAAGGACTTCAGTCTCCAAGTTAATAAGTCTTCCCACTTCTTTAATTCTAACTATCCCATCAAAGACACAGATAATTCCTCTTATGCTAAGGACACAAGAAAACATAGTAGCACTATGAGTAGAGAGATGAAAAGGAAAACCATGCAATAAGCACTCCCAAGAAGCTCTAGAAAGAACTCCAGAAACTTTTTTATCAACAACCGCATCCAACCTTGATATGAGGCTAAGAACAGACTGCAGCTCACCTGCATTGGAACCACTCCTCTCCAAGAGCTCATCCTGTAGGCTTTGGTCAATTTCAGTATGTTTCAGAAGCAAGAATGATGAAAATCCAGGAGCCTGCTTTTGCTTGTTACTGAGGATATCAAGGAAAGCATTCTGATAAACATGTAAATACTTGTTCAGCAACGATGAGAACAGCCTTATAAGGGATACAAATTGACCAGTCTCAATCATGGAGGAAACCATGCTTCCAGCAAGTTTAACATATTTCTCATCCCCCAAAGCATTCTCAGTCCAGGTTAGACCATGTCCAGAAATAGCATTGTCCATGCAATATCTCCATATGCCAACATTAGTGAAGGAGAGAACCAGAGACAGCCACATTCCATTTCTGAGAAAATACCAACCTAATTGCTCAATGCCTTCTGGTATGGGCAAAGCATTTAAATGCTGAAGCAGACTCAATATAACATCTGGAGAGATAGTGAACTTCCCAATGCCCTCTGGATGGCCAAGGAGTAAGTGGCTGAAATGGAAAAAATGCAACATATTAGATGGATCCACTGGGTGGTCTTGATCCCAAGATATAATTGGATGCTCTGCTTCAGAGCCAACATATGGAATATCCCAACAAAGGGAGAAAACATATCTCTCAACAATTAGATCTTCAACAGCAGTGGCTATTTTACCTCTCCAAAACCCCAGAATCAGAGAATATGTAAAATATATCTCCTCCCAATTCAAAGCTATGTTCTCAATTGCCAAATCATCCCTAACAACTGAAACAGAGGACCCAGATATATCAATTAGGTGTCCAATCAAGCTACTAACAAAAGCTTCCTCTCCAATCAATCCACCTGCAATGTTTTTAAATGCAGCCGATGACCAAGATGACATGTGATCATTAACTTTAGTTGGCATAAATGAGCCAGAAACTGGTGCTTCCCTCAACTTAGATCGCACATCTATGAGCAATGATGTTGGACAAGTCTGTTGGTGAAATATCATATGACGAAGAATTAAGATCAACCTTGAAACTACTAAAGCCCAACATGTTAACAGCGTGCTGCTCAAATCTAATGTTGAATTAGCAACTTCTTTGAGGGTAGAAAAGAATAATTTTGCCATCACTGCCTTTTCATCTTCAGAAGACAAGTGGAATGCCATAAGAACTACCTCAATGTGAAACAACGAGGGAAGAGTACCAACAAGATCATTGATGCTTGGGCAATTTGAACTAATAGTTTTTGCCTTCTCAACAACAAAGGCAACATAAACACTACAAATCTTAGTTCTTAACTGACTACCAGAAGAACCAACCCTACAAAACAATGTGTGAGCAAGCAGGGTCAGGGTCCTATCATTATAACTAAAGGAACCATTCTCAACAGTTAGGATTTTATCCACAAGGTAGTCTTCAAGTGAATCACTCAAAGCATGGTTAGTGAGAAGGTTGTTTAAAAGATCAAAGCACAGATCAGGGATATGCCCAATCTTCCCATCTTCATGTAACAAGGTACAACTATCAGACATATTATCTTCGGAACCACAGCCCTGACAATTGAGTAGGGAACAAAATCATCCTCCGAGAACACAAGAAACGGCTGGGAAACGCCAAAGGACAGTGGCCCGATGAACTTCCC